GCCTCTGTGAACTTCATGAGGTTCAACAAGGACGAGTGCAGGATCCTGCATCTGGGTTGAGGCAACCCCCGGTATCACTACAGGCTGGGGGATGAAGGGATCGAGAGCAGCCCTGTTGAGGACTTGGGTGTACTGGTGGATGAGAAGCTGGACAGGAGCCAGCAATGTGCACTCGTAGCCCAGAAGGCCAACTGTATCCTGGGCTGCATCCAAAGCGGCCTGGCCAGCAGGGCAAGGGAGGGGATTCTGCCCCTCTGCTCCACTCTGGTGAGACCCCACCTGGAGCACTGTGTCCAGCTCTGGAGCCCTCAGCACAGGAAAGACATGGGCCTGTTGGAGAGGGTCCAGAGGAGGGCCACAAAAATGATCAGAGGGATGGAACACCTCTCCTATGAGGACAGGCTGAGAGAGTTGGGGTTGTTCAGCCTGGAGAAGAGAAGGCTCCGAGGAGACCTTATTGCAGCCTTTCAGAACTGAAAGGGGGCTTATAAGAAAGATGAGGACAGACTTTTTAGCAGGGCCTGTTGTGATAGGACAAGTGGTTTTAAACTACAAGAGGGCAGATTTAGACTAGATAGAAGGAAGACTTTTTTCACAACAAGGGTGGTGAAACACTGGAACAGATGGCACCAGAGAGGTGGTACATGTCCCATTTCTGGCAACATTCCAGGTCAGGTTGGTCAGGGCTCTGAGCAACCTGACCTAGCTGAAGACGTCCCTGCTGATTGCAGGGAGGTTGGACTAAATGATCTTTAAAGGTCCCTTCCAAACAAACTATTCTGTGATTTTATGTTAACTCCACTGAGGCTTTATCTAGACAAAGCTATCTTATCATAACTACAAGTGGCTTTTAAGTGCATCTTTCTTTACATAAAGCAATGCCAACTTTTACTTTGGACACTTAAAACTATTTCTGTAAGCCAGGCCAGCTTTAAATTAATGACACAAGTTGAACCACGTGGGCTAGTTTTATACCCAGTTCCATGTATCCAAGAGTTTGCACTGGTTTGAGCATACGTTTAGATTAAAGACTCTATTGGAAATGTAACACAAAAGTGATGAAAGGCATACATCAAATTATTGTACTTTCGAGAAGGAGGACTTCCCTGCTGTGGGAAGCTATATGCAATCATAATTTTAAAGAGTAGATGATGTCTCTGCTGAGATTATTTTGAAATTCTTGCACAGAATGAATTGATTTAGCCTTTAAAAGTAGGATCAAGTTACCAGTAAACCACCTTAGGTAGTACTGAATTTTAGACACAGTGCAGAAACATTAGAAAAGCCAGGAAACAGTCGGTGTAAAACATATGCTATGCTGACTTACTATATATATTGTTCTCTTTATCACTCATGCTAAACACATTTACTGTCATGTATACACACACTGCATTTTTTTGAAATAGTAATACTAAAAAAACCCAGTAGGGGGCATACATTACATACTTGAATTTCAATTTAATCATACAATCTAATAGTCAAGGTTATTCATATAAATCAGACTTCTTCTATTAATGCACAAAGCTGTAGGTTTGTCTAAAATGATGTCATAGCACCATCTCTCTCAACTTCTTACACGTGAACCACCAGCGGTTAAAATCAGCTTATAGTCTTCTACTCTCCTGCAGTCAGTTTGCTGGCAAGTACCAGGTATCTTTACTATCCCTTCTCTGAAGTGTCAAGACTTGAGAAAACTTGTACAAATAGCTTCTCTGTAGCTGTGGAAACAAGCTAAATTATAGAAAGGACGTACCTCCCCCCCCAGTGAATTGGCAAGAATTTTACTGTCTAAAACTTCCTTTATGTAATTATTTGCTATTAGGCCGAAATTGGCCAAGCACTTACCTGTGTCTTTAGCACTCATATCGCACAGTAAAATCATCCATGACCTGGGACTGTGAAGGAATCTGATACATAAAACCAGTATTGCCCCTCTTCTTGTAGCTACGATGGAGCTTGGCTCTGCTAGTCAATGAAAAGTATTCTGCTGTGAGAATGTAAATACGTGTGTCACACGTGCCAGTTGTGGACAGATGTCTCATCATGCTTACTGTAATCACTTCTCCAACATACAAGTAATTTATCCTTACAATGCACTTGGAGCAACAGGTGCATACTTACTCCTCAGAATTGCGGTCATCCAAGACAAAGTCAAAAACTGAAGACAAGGGCACTCATTTGACAAATACGACCAGCCCACCCAGCCTCTATCCACTTGCATTGAAGCTGTGAGATTAGCAGTATCCAGGATCCTGCTAGTTTAACCAAGTATCTTTCAGATACTTTTATTAAGATACCTTTTAAAAAGTCTTTCAAACTGTTTCCATAGTGCCATAGCAACAGCCTCGCTACACTTCAAACAGAACTTGATGATCCAGATCTTCGGCAGTTAACTTATACTTTAGCTTTGTACACTTTTGGTGGTGTTTTTGTTGGTTTTTTTCCTGAGACTGCTAACAAAGTCATTGCTTCTTTCATGGTTTCTTAAGTAAACTTCACTAGAAAGGGAGGCTGAACTAAAATGCTATTCCAAATGCCACTGAATTTCTGTACTTTTTAAAACTGAAATTCAGAGCACCCAGCATCATGACTAGAACAAAAATCTTTTAATTAAAAGCTCTGGGTTCTTTTCACTGACTTTACTGTGTTAACTGTCACTTCATTCTAAAGAGAAGCAGTAAATCTGAAAAGCGTTTGACATATTTTATTACAAATGGCCATCAATACAGAACCAAAGTCATCTTTATAAATTATCTACAAAAAGCACAAATGCAGGTTAAAAAATATTATCTAGCATGAACAGAGGGCTTGTGGATTTCAGTTTTTACTTTCTATGAGTCTGTTCTTAGGGAAGAAATAATTTTAAAAGGCTAGGGGTTTTTTTAAGTATGTTTTTTTAGTGGTCTGTTTTTAACTTTTACTGTGAAAACAAAGCTTTGTTGATTAATCTAGGAGAGAACTAGAAAGGGTGACACATGACCTTTTTGTCCAGTAAATCTGGAATAATCCTGCTAATTTAACTGAAAACAGAAACTAGTCCAAGACATTTCAAAACTCCCTTATCTTTCATACTTTTTTTGGCATATTGCCTGTCCACCTCAGAGTCAGTACGAGGACCGAGCAAGTCGTAAAGACTTGATTCCTGTCCACACTAGAGAGTTGCTCTCCTCCATAGTCCAGGTTGAATCATGCTACAGTCTTGCTTCTACTACAACTTTTCAGAGGATTTTGTACCTTGCTAGCTCCCGTCTTTCCTGTAATCCTAAATCATGCAAGCACACAATCTCATACACAGAACAGCCCCAGCTGTTGCTATTCTTCATGATCAAGAAATTAATCCAGCACTGCCAGTAGAGGCTTTATCAAGCCCCTAGGCAAATCACTTTAGATTTGACCATTACAGGCAAACGCTGTTGTGTAACGTGGTAGTTATCTGTCACCTCAGTCAGCAGGTAAGAGACTATGTTCTCTTTCTGCTTTAAGAGAACAGAACAATGCCTCTGTGTGTACGCTGGAGTGGGGGGGTGGGGTTGGAGGAGAGGCAATATTGCCTCAGTAGCTGAGTATTCTAGGTTATTATTTGCTAAATGGAATTTTCCTCGTCCATCTGCTATTTTTTTTGTGCTATGCTTACCAGAGAAGTGGAACTGAAGGTGCGATCTTCTGGATTTTTACCTGCATTTTAGGAGGGAACACCTTTGTAGCAGAGCTGCCTGTCGCTGCATAAAACTGTGTCCCCCGCCTAACGAAGATAGGAGCAGCAAATTAGCTTCCTGTGATCTTTAAACACAAGAATATTAAAAATCCACCTACGACTAGCACCAAAATGACAGCATTTGCCCTTCCCTATGCTTTTTTGTCCTTTTCAAACATATTTCTGTATTACTGACATGCTGATGCGATCAACACTTCGGGGCACTGCTCAGCAACACTTCAGTCAGCCAGCCACGCAGTTGAGTATAAGCAAAGGGACAGTAAAAAGCAAGAAATAACACTGCGTTCCATTTGCAAAATGTCACTCTTCCCATTAGCATACTGTACTTGACCCTTCTGGCTGGAGAGGTGTTGATGGTTTTATTCAAAGCATCGCAGATGATTGTATAGAGACTGAACATAAGTGAAGACACACATGGGATCTGGCTTGTGACCCATCACCATCATGTCATCCACTTCTATCAGACGATCGCAGTGAGCCATTTTCCTGTAGTAATAATGAAACAGATACAGCAAATCAAGAGTTAAATTGAAGGCCTGTAACTACTTTCAAGATTCATTTGCTGCTCTGATTTGAGCATCCCTGAGGCATTTAAGAAATCCTAAGGTTTACCAGCAACATTTCATTTCACAATGAAACGCTCAGGATGGAGATTGTTATTTTTGGGACCATGGAATATTCCTGTTCTTTCCCTCTCTTCCTCTGTACTGGGATACAATCCAAAGCCCTGTAGGTTTGTTTTTTTTTTTTCCACTGACTGCCATTCACATCCCTAATATCTGTAGCATGTAGCCCAATCTCACATTCCTCTGCCCAAGTCTCAGTAAGCAGGGTCATGCAAGTTTGCAAATCATGAGGTTTTCTGGTATTTATATGGGAAGCTCCAAAAGAATGGAAAAACACGCAAGGTTTTGGTAGTGGGGGCTTCTGTGAGAAGCTGCTAGAAGGTTCCCCAATGTCTGATAGGGCCAATGCCAGCTGACTTGAAGATGGACTTGACATTGGCCAACCCAAGCCTATCAGCGAGTGATGGCAGCACCTCTGTGATAACATATTTAAGAAGGGGTAAAAACAAACAAACAAACAAGCCACCTGCACACAGCAATTGCAGCTGAAGAGGAGTTAGAATATGTGAGAGGAACAACTCTGCAGACACCAAGGTCAGTGCAGAAGGAGGGGGAGGAGGTGCTCCAGGTACCAAAGCAGAGATTCCCCTGCAGCCTGTGATGAAGATTGTGGTGAGGCAGGCTGTGCCCCTGCAGCCCATGGAGCTCCACGCTAGAGCAGGTATCTGCCTGCAGCCCGGCGAGGGCCCCATGCCGGAGCAGGGGGATGCCCGAAGGAGGCCATGACCCTGTGGGCAGCCTGCGCTGGAGCCGGCTCCTGGCAGGGCCTGTGACCCCGTGGAGAGAGGAGCCCATGCTGGAGCAGGTTTTCTGGCAGGACTTGTGACCCTGCAGGGGACCCACGCTGGAGCAGTCTCTGCTGCTTAGAGCCAGGGAGGAGGTAGAGAATTTGGGAGTGAAGTTGAGCCCTGGAAGAAGGGAAGGGTGGGGGAAGGTCCTTTAAGATTTGGTTTTAGTTCTCATTATTCTACTCTGATTTGATTGGTAATAAATTAAGTTTTCCCCAGTCGAGTCTCTCTTGCCTGTGACGGTAGTTGCCGAATTGTATCTCTCCCTGTCCTTATCTTGACCCACGAGACTTTTATTGTATTTTCTCTCCCCTGTCCAGCTGGGGAGGAGAGTGATAGAGCAACTTTGGTGGGCACCTAGCATCCAGCCAGGGACAACCCTCTACAAGAGATGAGATGTGCCAATGAAGGCCCATGTGGCTGTGAATTGTTTGTTCTCCAACACGCCCATAACTGCAAGGTATGAGTGACTCGGACAACAGTCTCAGATGACCAAGCTGGAGAGCAGAAGCCTGAGTGAGATCTGGACCAGCAGAAAGGAACAGAGTTGCTGAGACCTAGGACGAAAAATCACAAGGCCAGAAAGCAATCTGATCAGCAGAGTTTGACTGGGGTGAACAGCAATAATTGAGAGTAGAACCTTTTTTGGCACTAGAAGAGAACAGTTAGTTTAAAGGCAATCAGAGCTATGAAGTAGTCACTTCTGTAGATACCTAACATTTCTTACTGTTGTGTGCATGCTGTCTTCTGTTCTCCCCTATACTTACTGTTATACATAAACTGAAATAGAAAAAACACTGCAACTTTCCTTTAAGAGTTGTAGATAGTTTTACTTTAGAGATCAACCACCTAGAAGTATCATAGGATCTCTTTGAACTCACTGGCAAGCAACAAAAATTTTTTTTTTATATATATATATGTGTGTGTGTGTGTGTGTGTGTATAAAAACTTTACGTATGCAAAACTTTTCGTATGCAAACTTTAGCCCTGTATTCCCACATCCTGT